TAATTGGCTCACCATGGAATGTGCTGCCTTCATTAACAATAAATAAATAAATAAATAAATAAATAGGAAAAAAAAACCAACCCATGTAATAAGAAGACTTCTGCCTTTCTCCCAAACTTTATTTTCTGAGATTTCAAAATGATAAATTGCTGCAGTTTTTGTGAGATGACTAGATTCACTCCCATAGCAATCAGCAGCTAAAGCTTGCACAAACTACAGAAAGTGTGTTTCAGTTCTCATGCTGTGGAGTTCAGGTTATCAGAGCCAGCATACAACAGCCCTAGTTATACCATCAACAGGAGTGAAAAATGTTTTTTACTCTAATGCTCTGAGTCTCGTAGCTCACTATATCATTTGATTATGCCTTTGTATTTGTCCTCCTGTGATCCATGTAGTAACTAGTAACCAGTTAGAAAGTGAGTTCGTCTGATATTACAGTATAAACAGGGAATGTAGGATACATTCCTGCTATCATTCCACTTCCATTCTCTATCTGTCCGGAGTGTGCTGGAGCAGAAGAACTGTTGCAATTTCACTGGTTCCTGGAGCTGAAGAGAACTCTTCGGGAACTTGGACACAGATAGCTTCAGCAAGCTATCACAAGCAAATATACGGGGTGTCCTTTGTGCAGAGGGTAAGTGAAAAAGAACAGGCATAAGAGGAGAAGTCTTTTCATTGCAGATAGAAGCTTTTTGCTGCTTTGTGCATGCATGCATGTCTTGAAGATATAGAAATTGGAAATGTAGGATGAAAATAATATATGACATGTTGTGATTTGATGATAATTTTGACTAGAGATAGCAGAGAGAGGGAAGGACCTTGGCAGCAAAGACCTGCATGTTACATCTTCTACATTTTTGTTTGCTTTTGTTTTTAGCCAAGAGCAATAATAGATCTTTGTGGAATGGGGAGGAGATGTAAGAGGTGAAGAAAGATCTCTTTTTGAATGAATGAATGAACAAAATATTCAAAGAGACTATGTTGCTCTCTTCTTCCTACCATGACAGAAAGCACATTTGGATGGGGAATATCACACGTGTGACAGAGTTTGTTCTCGTGGGATTTCCAAGCCGCTATGAAGTGGAGATCATCTTCTTTGTGCTGTTCCTGCTTGTTTATTTAGTGACTGTTCTGGGAAATGCTCTTATCATTGTACTGGTCTATATTGACTGCCACCTCCATTCTCCCATGTATTACTTCCTCAGTAATTTGTCCTTCATTGAGATCTCCATGACTTCCTCTGTTGTGCCAAAAATGCTGGCAAACTTGCTGTCAGAGAAGAAGACCATCTCCTTTGGTGGCTGCTTTAGCCARYTCTACTTTTAYTTCTCCCTGGCTGCAACAGAGTTCATCCTCTTTGCCATCATGTCCTATGACCGCTATGTGGCAATATGCAGCCCCCTGAGATATCCCATCATCATGACGGACAGGGTGTGTGGCCATCTTCTCCTGGGTGCCTGGGTGGGTGGCGTGGTCTTGATCTTGCCCTTAGTGGTCCTGAAAGCCAAGCTGCCATACTGTGGTCCCAACGTGCTTGACCACTACTTCTGTGACAGCGCACCTCTCCTGCACCTCGCTTGCACAGACATCTGGGTTGCTGAGCTGAGGGATTTTGTGGTGTCCGTGCTCCTGCTCCTTGGCTCCTTGGCACTGACTGTCTTCTCCTATGCCTGGATCATTCTGACCATATTGCAAATCCCATCTGCCCAGGGCAGGCAGAAAACATTTGCCACTTGTGCTTCTCATTTCACTGTTATTTCCCTGGGTTTTGGCATCTCCATCTTCATCTATGTCAGGCCTTCCCAGATGAGCCCTGSACACCTCAACAAAATCCTCTCTGTTCTYTCCAGCATTGTGAYTCCTCTTTTAAATCCCTTCATATTCAGCCTCAGGAATCARCAAATGAAAGAAGCCTGGAAAAATGCTTTGCACAATTGCCTGGBCATGGCTGAGGAGGCCAGAAAGCCATGAGAATCCTCGTGGCTTGTAGGAAGTCCATCCTTGACAAATCTCAACAGGGTCTCTGCATGCCTGGTGTCTTCTGTCAGAATGTGGCTGGTTATGGACAATGTTGAGGAACAGCACATGTCTCAAAGGTCAGCTTCACAGCAGAACACTTGTGTCAGGCCCCACTGAAATTCTCCTGCACTTTAGGTAGTGATGGACATCTGTGTGGTGCTATGTGCTTATTGGACATAAAGCAATCTCCTAATCTGAACAAAAGGCTGTAGGACTGAAAGGAACAGAAAGAGCACCAGAACAAAAGGAGTGGCAAAGTGAAAAGTAATGGCTGTCAATGTATAACTAGTAATTTTACTGAATTTTCATCACATAATCATGTTTTCAAATCAAGTTTTCAAGTTTCAAATAAAGTGTTCTGCTGGAGAGTAACATCAATTCATTCATCTTTGAATTACAAGTTATAGCTGATAGAACTAAGATGGGGAACTCTCAAAAAGTAGATGCAGAAATAGAAGAAATGCTGAGGAGTACCAGAAATAGCGGGAGAATCTGAACACTGATATGCAAGAACATGAAGTCAGACATGTGCCTGCAATAGAAAGGTTCTCTCTCTCTTTTAAGGAAGTGATGGGACCAATGAGTAAAAACTCTAAACTTCCTACTTATTCCTACGCATAAATAGGTAAATTAGGAGTCAGATAATGGCCACTTCCCCCTCATAAAACTCATAAAATTTTATCTTGGAGATTTTTCACCCCTAAAACTCATAAAATAAACCCCAAAGAAAATGTAATCACAATAAAAATAAATAAATGAATAAATAAAAATTAAAAAAAAAGAATACAAAAAGTCCAAGAAAAAAAATATTAAAACTCTGTGCATTTTGAATTCAAGTCTTCTGAGAAAACTATTCTGTGTTTTTCATTTAGCTAATCTGAAGGCTTTTGTCACCTATTTTCTAACCAGCTGTTCTCATCCTTGATGCATCACAGTTTAAGGCTATCTGCTCCATATGAATCTACCAGAAATGATGATGGGTTTGCTGACGGAAGATGGCAAGTTCTCCTTCTTTGACTCTGCTGCCCAGGTGCATTTCTTGGTTTTACTGGGCAACACCAAAAGCCTTCCCCATGGCAGCTATGGCCAGGGATCACTGTGCGCCATAAATGACTCCCTGCATCATTCTGTCATCATGAGTGGAGGTCTCTGTGTGTCAGCCTGGTGCTAGGCTCATTGGTGAGTGTCCTACCAGAGTAGGCAGGACAGATCTATCAGGTGTTCACTATGCCTCCCTTGCACCCCATGCCATCACCCACAACACCATCACCACCCCCAAGTTGGAAGTAGCCTGTGCAGACACTTCCTGTAACTGAGTGGTGTTGTAGTCATCATCTTGGTGTTCGGCACCTTTCCCGTTTTCCTCACAGTTATTTCTTATGCCTAGAATTACCTATTATTCAAGATGGTTCTGATGGTCCTTCATTTGTGGGCAAACATGGAGCCTTTTCCACCTCCTGCATCTACCTTGGGGTGGTGACTCCCTTTTATTGCTCAGGCATGGTTGCAAACTTAAAATACTGAATGGGAGCTTTTCAGACTTTGGCAGACACTTTGCTCTAGTTTACACAGTTGGGTCCCCATGTTTAATCCTTCCATCTGTAACCTCAGAAATAGAAAAGTGAGAATTGCCCTCAAGAAATTCCTATGGAGAATAGGAAACTATTCTCCATATCAATATTCTGCAAACTATGCAAAATAGTCACAAATAAGACCAAAAGTCCCAGTGAGTTTGGTTATCTGAACATAGGGAACCCATTTTAACCCTAGTAAATTCAGGCACACTCCTGGCTTTGATCCTCTTCAAGGCAGGCACAGGTCACTTGAGTTATTCCTGCCACCTAGGTATTTTCATAGCTGCCCCATGCCATTGCTAGGTAATGGTCTATCCCAGGTGCAGGACTTGGAATTGCTCTTTGTTTTTGTTGTTGTTGTTGTTGCTGCTGCTGTTTTCCATGAGGTTCCTGACAGCCCACACCTTCCACTTGCTGAGGACCACCTGGAGGGCAGTCCTCACATATATGACTGTGCTGCTTAATGAGGTAGCAATCAGCCCTGAAGTCATCCTAGCGAGAGCATCACTTCTCTCGTATCCAACAATGTGGCACTCCTCTGACAGCTCCTGCATCTCCATCACCTCCCATCTGAATCCCAGGCTACATGCCTTTTGCGTATATTTAGGCTGTAGAGCATCAGTTGTGCAAGTTGTGTTCTTGCAGTTGTGCAAGAACACCAGTTGTGCAATGGTCCTGCTTCAGAGCAGAGACATGCTGGCCTAGAGAGCAGGGGGCTGCATAAGGGTGAAATGAGGTTCCCACTAAGAGCACACTGTGTGGTAGCCAAGGCCAGGCATCCACTTATGGACATTTATGCAACATCTCCTCCACTGTGCCATCTCTAAGCATGAGAAGGATAAGGAGGTGATCAGGAGTAGTCAGCATGGATTCACCAAGAGGAAGTCATGCTTAACAGATGTGATAGCCTTCTATGATGGAATGACTGGCTATGACAGGGAATACTTGCCTGTTGTCTACCTTGAGTTTGGCAAGGCTTTTGACACTGTCTCGCTTGTAGAGAATGTCAAGAAGCATGAGTCAAATTGAGGTGAATTGAGATGTGGCTAAGTGGTAGAGCTCAGAGGTTTATGATCAGAAGTGCAGAGTCCAGTTGGCAGCTTGCAGCTGTGATGGGTCAGCCTAACCTGACTTTTCACAGGTAGCTCTATTCAGGTGTTACCCACCAGTGGCATTATCTGCTCCTGGTGGTTGTCCGGGATCTCTTCCCCCATTCACCCAGTAATTAGCAATAATAGCCCTGATGGCTGCATTCTGACAGGGAGATAAGGGCTAACTGAGCATACACCAGTGCAAATTTGACTGAAATGAAAGAATGACTCTAAGTCAAATATCTTATCCCATAAATATGGTGAGAGCCCAAGGTCCCTTTGAACTCTCCTAGCACAGCAGTGGTCTGCACTTCAGGTTCTCCCTGTGAGCAGGGACACCGCTCCAGGATAGTCCTCACGGTTAGGAGATCCTTGACACAACAGATCGTTGGTAAGTGACTATATCAGGCTCACTGTATTTGTAAACTTTACAGACATAACCATGCACAAAATTATTTAGTCATAAACCATTGACCAGGTCTTGAACTAGGCTTGGATCCAGATGCATCCAGACTCCTCTCAAAAAGAAGGAGTTTGGAAAGCACAGGAGTCCAATCCGAATCCCATGACTCAATGGGAGGGTTTCCTTGGGAATTCAGTATATATCCTGTACCCCATGCAGTAAATAAGAAGTGACCTTGCGATAGCATCTTGTTAAACCATTGTCCACATCAATAAACCTACTACTGTTTCTTTCACACGAATGAAGAGCATTCTGTCATTCACCCCTATCACCACTCATTCTGTGACAGTAGCTAGCAGTGTTCCCTGGGGATCAGGACCTGGGGGTCCTGGTGGACAACAAGCTACACGTGAACCAGCAATGTGCTCTTTTGACCAAGGTGACTAATGGTATCTTGAAGTGCATTAGGAAGAGWGTTGTCAGCAAGTTGAGAGATCCTCCCCAACTACTCAATGCTGGTGAGGCCACCTCTGGAATACTTTGTCCAGTTCTTGACTCCACCAGGATTAGAGGGACATTGGACTACTGGAGTAGGGCTATGAAAATGATGAAGGGACTGGAGCACCTCTTCTGTGAAGAAAGTTTGGGAGAGCTGGGCCTGTTCATCCTGAAGAAGAGAAGACTGAAATAGGATCTCATCAGCATTCACAATATCTTAAGGGTGGGTGTCAAGAGGGTGAGGCTAGACTCTTTTCAGTGGTGCCCAGAAATAAGATGAGAACCAATGGGAACAAAAAGAACACAGGAAACGCCATCAGAACATAAGGAAAAATGCTTTCCTGTGAGAGTAAGAAAGCACTGGGACAGCTTTCCAGTTGTGGAATTGTGCAGTCTCCCATCCTTGATGATATTCAAAAGGCACATGGACACAATCCTGGGCAACATGCTGTAGGTGACCCTGTTTGAGTATAGAGTTAGAACTAGGTGATCTCCAGAGGTTCCTTCCAACCTCAACCATTGTGTGATTCTTTGTGTTATTCTGTRTTTGTGTGTGGACAACTGACCCTCCATCTTCAGTGAGTCCAAAGAGAACTTAGACAACAGAATCCCATTTAGATATCTGTGACACACACATCAGCTTTGGCAAGAGGAATGCCACTTCTTGTTTGTTTGCAGAGTGCACAAGAGGGATCTGAATGCCATTGCATCCCTGGACCTCAAACCTGGCAAGTGATGCCCAGATTGACTCCTCTGAAGAATGGGTAAATGATCTCACTCCTTGTCCCCATCTCAGTTTGCTACCTAGCTAAGAGGTGGGAATAGGGCCTCCCAGAGTGGGACAGTTCCACCTTTCCTAGATAACCCTCCTCTGATGAGACAGTTCCTAATGCTGGCTTCAGTCTTTGGTTTTCAGAGAGAGACCATAGATAATTAGTTTAGTCTGCTTCAATGACTATTTCCCAGGAGGAGGAGGAGGCAGCAAAAGGACAAATCAAGTCACACCTCCAGCTGCGCCACTCTTCCGAGCATGGCCAGGCTCCTGGGGTGGAGTTTGTGGCAACCTGGCAGCGCTGTGTCCAGGAGCAGCTCTGTGCAGACAGCTGTGACCAGGAGCAGCTCCTCCACAAAGAGCAGCAGAGCTYCRGGCATTTSCCACAGGTGMCAAYTTGAGACAAGCAAGATGAGCGAGACAAGTGAGACTGAAAGAAGTTAAAAGATATCCAGAGGTGGGAGGATGTCTGAGAGCTCTGTGGTGGAGAAATCTTCTTAGTCTCTAAAACAGTAAGTCTCCCTCTTGCTAGGCAATGTTCTTGCCCCATTACTGTCTGGCCAGGTGAGATTCAGATGCAGTTCAGACACCAACTCTGTGGATTTGAGATCATCTGAGGAAGGGGGTATAGTTCGCTGGTGTGCACTTTGGTTCTAGATTCCTCTGTGCTCAGCCGTGTCCTTTCGTTCTGACGTGAGTGCAAATGTCCTGTACCTCAGAGGTGCAAGCAGAGGGCAGATGTGAA